ACACGATGCAATGAATCCACGGGTAAGTCATTTTATATACTATTGATAGCAATAAGTCTGGTACGTAGTAATCCGTTAAGAGATGTAGTGTATTCAGGATAAGATAGTTATACACAAAAGCGCTCTTATACTACAGAATAGGCTTTGAGAATATCGAACATATGGTCGCTAGACTTGACATATTTGTTGCCATCATTTTTTCAATAATTCGGTACGATTACTTGGGTTAGGCGTCCTGGTTAAAGCTATGGTCAGTTAAGGACGTGCCGCCGTGTGTGTGCGTGCGTGCGTGCGTGTGTGTGTGTGTGTGTGTGTGTGTGTGTGTGTGTGTGATGATTGGTGGAGACGGTATTACAAAGTGTTGTTCACGAAATTTAACCGCAAATAAACAAATGATTTTTTTATATATAATAATTTTAACTTCCAAATGGTTCATTGCTACCTCGACACAACACCGATTTACTTGGTATGCCATACGTTTTTGAATTATTATATCGATTTACTTGGTATGCCATACGTTTTTGAATTATTACATCGATTCACTTGGTATACCATACGTTTTTGAAATCTTACATCGATTTACTTTGTATGCCATACGTCTTTGAATTATTACATCGATTCACTTGGTATACCATACGTTTTTGAAATCTTACATCGATTTACTTGGTATACCATACGTTTTTGAAGTATTATAAAAGCAATCATTTAGAAACATGTAGCTAAATAACGAATGTATTATTATCAAGTAAGTTCTGATAAAGACAAATATCGATTGTTTTGTTAAATAATAATAAGATACTTGATGAGTGTTTTTGATCGAAGTTAGTTTTGATATAGATAGTTATCAATTCTTTTCATATTTTGCGTTATTGGTAAGTTTATTTTGTGTAAAAAGTGCTTTTATGAATCAGCTACTGCATGTCTCACCAGTATCAAAGTTGTCACACTGCGTTCAATATGTATCAGCAATTAATTACAAGTACATATGATATGCATGAGATGTATACAATATCATCGTATAATGCCTTGCTACAATACTCTGTATGTACATAAAAAAATGAGTAGAGCAAACATTGTTAACACTTACCAATATATATATATTGCATGAACATAAGCTATATTGTTTGAATTTAATGAAGGCTATATAACGACTGTGTGCAATAAACCTTGTGTTTCCTCTACTCTAATTGCAAGGCCGCCGTTAACAATGTGGATTAGGACCTATAGTTGTAGTCAATAAATATTCAAGTGTTATTATCATTCAGACTTACCATGCATATTACTATATATTAATAATAAACTAAAGTACAGTGAAGCCTACTTTGGCCAAGTGACAACTCACTCATACCCAAATTGATACTTAATACCACGGTCCCGTTTTGCATTTAAACAATCAAAAAGACTCTTTATAATATGGTAATTTACAATTGATTTTCATCATATGCTTTAGTTGGGCATTGCACTTTAAGGTTTTCCCGTCTTTTTCATTGTTGTTCTTTTATTACTTTTTGAAAGTGTGCTCAATTATTGATGATGGTCATTTAGGAATGAGATAATTTATTTATCATCAGTTACATGTTTTAAAAAATAAAAAAAACATAATAGCAAGCGGCCTTTGTTCAAATTTATACCCGGAGATTACACACTGTTGTGCAATCAGACGGTATGCAATCTACCTGTGTTAACAGACCCAGGTCGATATCCATTTCTTTCGAATTAGATCGTCACTGTGCATTGAGCCTATCATTGTCTGGTACTAACATGTACATCAACGTTGGACGCGCGGCGTTGGCAGCACTGTGGCTCCAGATGTCACGTATTACTACAGTAAAGGCTGATATAGCCGCTGATCTGATGGCCAGACACGCCAAAGTGACACAATGTTATATAATACACCATACAGCATGGTTCATACTTCCCCGGTACTATATATTGGATATCCACTTCAGTAGCACTTCTGATGCTTTCTGTATTACAAGCTACGACAAGTGAGAATTTATAACGGATTTTAACAGCATGCATCGCGTCTTGATCCCGACTCTATAGTGCATATTAATATGCAAAGACGTACATAAATAATGTTAGCTCTACTGCTCTACCGTATTTCATCAATCATCACGGCTTACACAGAGGATTTCCCCCTACCCTATCAATCGATTTGCCAATTTTTGGTAATTGGCTATGTTTGCGTCAGCTCTAATAGCTTCTAAAATACCCTAGCGACCCCCAGAACGTGTTGGCCCTCTCCAATACACTGGTCAGTGGATGATTTCCCTGGGCACGGAATGGTAAATGCTTTTATGTGGAATCATGTCTTCACTATTCCTCACACGAAGGTGACCTCTTGCTATTTGTCCTGAGACTATCCGATACTCTATGGTCCTATTGCAGACTAAAACATTTTTTTTTAAAGAGATACCGTAATTCACATATAAAGAATACCTGCAAAGCAGTTTGTTGATAAAACGATATATAATGTATTTTTATTCACACTTATGTGCAATTTTCTAGATGTATGGTGTAAGTCAATATCCTCCTTTGTACACTATAGGTTAAGCAAGAAAAATTAAATAAGACTCGCTGGGGTGTTTTTTTTTATCTAATACATGTATTGCATAAAAATCAACTATGGTTCGTATTAATAATATAACATATACCGCGTCATACTGTTGGCTAGATTACTCATCTGTATGAGTCAAGTGGCCTAGTCCTTTGTAAGCTTAGATTATTGATAGAATTAATCGAAGGATTCATGGACTTTACATGGTTTCAATACACTCCCAACATTGACAGCAGTACCAAGGGAATACGGCGATCATCACTCTTTATGAAACATGTCTATGCAAAATTTAAAAAAAACCAGGAAAACACCTTAATACGTATTGCAAACAGGACCTTGGATGATACCACAGATGAGCTGTGTTGCTGCAGAGTTGCCGACAAATATTCTATACCATTTTAAGCATTAGTAGCATGTCGATGTACGTTCTTCAACAATTCAGACTATTTGCAGCTATGAAGGTCGGATACAGTTCATCATTTTGTTTACTGACACCAACAGAAACTGCTGTTCGTACATTTATCGCTTTTTGGCATGGCTAGTATTTCTTATCGTTGATATGTCAGTTTTACCCCTCCCGTAAGAAAACATATACACACACACGTAATTCACCGATCAATTAGTATCAAGTATCCTTATCACCTTTAAAGCACTTTATATGATTTAGTTTTGGAGGTTTCAACACAAAATCAAAGTTTTATCTTTTCCTGTTTTTATAAGAAACCAAATTACTACATGTAGTCAAGCTAATTATTTTTTTCGCATTTTATCTAAAAGCTCTAGCTTATGTCACCAGATATTTTACCTATATATCCGATATGTACCAAGTGTCATTTTATTTATAAATTTATAATATCATTCAAATTGCTTTATGAAAAGCTTATTGCCTTTATTTTTGACAGAAACATTTCCTTCAAAGTTTTGCTATTAAAAAGTAGGAAAATATATTTCAATTACATCAAAGTTACACAAAATCTTAATTGTAATCCTTAACCTACAGATTACATTAACCAAACAGGTAACGACCTAATATTTATATAGTGGAAACTTGTTGAAGATTTACACTTCTCTTATATGTCTAAACGGTCCAGGTTACCATCGAATACCTACATCAGTAGACAAGTAATGTGATATTGATAAACACATTTAACGTATATACCGGAATTCTATAGAGATGAATTGCAATATACTCTAGCTTCTGTATCAATTATATCCATTATAAACATAGGGAGTTCAAGTGACGTTGAACTGGTGCAAACCCGTTACTGCGAACTCCGGGCAGACCTTCCCGACATGTGTTTTTTTTTATCTAGTAGAACTCATGGATGGCATCATGCAGATGCAAAGTTGTAAAACAACATTCGCTTTTAATACCATTTGACTGAGTCATGAATCATCCCGGGGAGATACAAGTTACGTTCGTGTCGATAGCTTTATCTTTAATATATAACTTGCATGTACATATATGATACGTTGAGAAGATTTGTGCGATGTGTGCATATTGCTATTCATATTTACTGGAATTTATGTATTACCATTTAATGTACTCTTCCATCAAATATGCATTTTGTTTTTAGTTCTAGTTCGATGTGTAAAATAATGACATATTGGTTTTGAAAATAAATAAAAATGAGTATCCAATATTGTTCTTTATGGTTGTTCTTTTTTAAATGTTTCAAATTTAGTTATTAAGGAGTCAACAAATATTATTTTGGAAAAAACCCATGTTTAGTTCATTTCTTCAATTTGTTCACTCACGCATTCTTACCGCTTTTCAACGATATAACGAGATTGCGGTTTTTTCGCTATGTAACGTGAAAAAGCAGTGAATCTGTTACGAAAGACTCCGATTGGTAGAATGTTGTATTGGCAATACCTACGGAAATCTGGTCGTGACAGCGATGATACACAAAACAAGACAATACACTTATGTATTACGTAATAGGTCGCTGGTAGGCGTAAACTGTCCGAAATTGATAATAATATAATTACTGTCTTATTGAATCACATATATAATCCATGACACAGAAATATAATGTGCTATGCGCTAGTGTGTATTATGCGTGTGAACATGTATGTCATACTCTGCATTTAATAGACTACATCTTGTGATTAGTTAGGATTGTCCTTTAATTTTGTTATTTCTTTGAAATCTTAATTAAATATATAACAATATGCACATTCTATGCGGCCTAAATTCCATTTTAATATGTTATATGCTTTCCTATTTGCATTATTATAATAGTGTAATGATAAGATCTTCAATATAAAGCAGGATTGAAGTGCAAGTATCATAGCCTCTTGTATACAGATACCATGTGTTTGTAGATATGCCGTACCCATGTGGAATCCTTCTCCAACCCTGACCCAGTTACACTGTACGTATAGTATCACTATGATACACATCGTATTGACTGAAATGTAATTTCAAACGGCTTACCTTTTTTTCCATGGTATTTGAGTCCATTGTTTTTCCTACTAGAATGATTCCCCATGGTTCTCTGATAATCACAATTGAAAATCCCACGATATCCAACAAGTCGACACTGTTGTTCGCTGTGGCGTTGTATATAGATGGAAGCTGGAAATCAACAGCAACCTGGTTGTAGTAGCGCGCGGAGTGTATTGACGTTCATCTAAGTCTGATGCTAGCAGAGCTCTGGGAGGTGAATGGGAAAATCCACTTGCTCGAATCTATATATAACTCATGGTACCACCGGCAGCATTCATAGTAAAGGGGCGGAGACTAATAGAAAATTACTAATGACGTTCAACGATTCCCGACAATAGGGTGTATCCGTGACTAAAATGACGCTTTGGATCACTCTGTATTGGATTGTCGTGTTGTGCAGGTTGACGATTACTTTTAACAAATGTATTTGTTAATGCAAACGTCATGAACGGTACTGTTTAGAGAAGAGTGCAAAAACTGTTTCTTAAGGGGTGCATTTCCAATCGAGGAAATGTTACCAACCTCCTTTACTTTTAATATACGTTTTCAATGTTTTCCAAACCACATTTAATAGCTCATTTACGCGAGGTATGTGATTTCGAAAATATTTTTGAACGTTTAGAAATGAAGATAAAGCACTTATGCGTTTTAAGCTTATGTTATATCAGAACACAGTTATGTCGATTTCTATTAAAAAGCAAGTGTAAATCAGGCAAAATTTCATTTAACTACACTATGTAATTAAACATTTTTGCCTGAAACTACTGTGGTATTTTTATGACGATAACTATGATTTAATCTTAGAAACTTTTTGTAAATAATTGCTATGTATCTTTAACTGACAAAAGTATTTTACTACAAGAGAACGATGAGGAAAAGTACCTATTAAACCTAAACATGTTTGTTTTATCCTCAATAAAAGAGTTTATATATTATACTGTATACAGAATCCATATGTTAAAGATATACAATAAGTTAGATATTGATATATCTAAAATATGTAGTTTGTGTAATATGAGTACCCATCTTTCAAATACTAAACTAAGAATCAACAACTGTTTGTCTTTGCTCTCAGTGATTGACGTCACACCCTGACGTCACAGTAGTAGCATTAGTAAAGTGATCTGATATACTGGTAAAACAATAGCAATTTAAGTGATTGTTAAATAATGTCAATACTTTCAGCTATGTTCGAACATTTTTTTCCGGTTGAAATGTCATTATGTTTTGTTTTACTAGAACAGCAGTTCATACAAAGCAAAAACATAGTACAATGTAGTTGACATTAAAAGGAGAAGATATGAATAAACGAATTCTTACGACCCGGCAAAACAAAAAGTGAAATAGAGCTGAATGGTATTTTAAATCAGTGTGTCAAGGCTAAACCATTCGATGACAGCGACACAAAAGATAGCAGAAAAACAATGATATCATTGCGAACAGCGTAAACCGTCATTGAGTTTAAAAACAATACAAACAAAACAAAACAATACTAGTCACGGTTAGATGGTAACCTCAGAATAACATTGTCCTTAGAAATCACGCAGGATCAATGTTAAAAGGTACTTAAACTGATAACTATTCCGGTTATATTGGTTAAAATGGACTGAATGATGAACGTATACACCAAACATTAAAACGTAATCATTCTTGTCAACCAGGAAACCAATAACTGGCAGCAGGAAGTGCATATCTTAACAACAATGTTGACACTGGGATCGATATACACACGCAAAAGCTTACCTACATAGATAACCTCTGTCGAGGTCCCATTCGATGACTCCTTATACAACAGTAATGTAAGATAAACCTAACACACACACACAGGTGTCTGAACCTTTAACATTTGGTATTAGATACGGTATGACAACAATTAACTACACTGAATCATACAGATGTTTCGTTCTCCTTGGACTTATCGGTGATGCTAGGGGCCGAAATGTTGGAAACCCAAATTGGCCTAACATATTGTTGAAACAGCGTGGCAGGTGCGTAAAACACCTGATTATTGAGTTTCAAAACTAAGAGGAGAATTTGTCCATTTCAAATTAAAACCTCTGTAAAGTGTGTATATTATGAACTGTGCAGCTACTCAAGAGTGACAACTGTGGCCATCAAGGATACAGAAGATTGAATAGTAGCATTTGATGGTCACATTTTTGTTTTTCTTTTCATACTTCGATAGTGTTAAACAGTCATATGAATACAGCTGGTTCTAAAAAGCAACACATACAGTATGGTCTATTTATTCGTTGGAGTAAAATTTTAGATTTATTAGTAATAAACATATACACAATGATATAAACTTTGTGAGTTGGTTACATGAAAATGAAGCCGTGAAGAGTGTTCAGTAAATGAGGCCGCTTTTGATAACTTGTTAGTTCAAGGTCGCACTATAATTTGCATTACAAGTATAGAAGGTAAGGTATAGTCATACAACGCAGAGGTCGTCATTTTATTTAAAATGACAAAGGCGCTATTATTGATACATTTTTTATGGAAAAGCCAAACAAAGGATCAAGTTCAAATGGTGACTGTGTCCACGAATGACGGGCCATACATAGCTAGTCACATTCCTTCAGCCACATCATAACATGATTTTCTTCATTGTATTGAACATATAAACTCTTAACCGGCTACAAACAAGACCAGATGGTCTCAACTATCGTTTAAATACGTTTTTTGTTATTGCATTTCTTCTCAGTTTTATGTATAAAATTGTTCAACGATCAAAGGCATCTTTCGACTATAAAACGTTGACTACCGTAAAGGCAACTGTGTCGGTCGTAAAACATGGGAGGCAAAACAGACAGTCAAATATAACCCGACCAAAACGTCATCCCTGCTTCCGGCGGTTATTCAGGAAACAGATTTACTATTAGTAATCATAGCTAAATACATTAAAAATCTACATATACATAAATAATTGATTAACCGCCATTCTGGTCATGAAGAGCTGCCGTGCTCCAAGATCCTGCTAAATATTGAGCCGTTTGATTTCAAAATGCCTTATTCTCTTTACTACGTCTCTTGCAGTGATTTCAGTGCTGAGGATGCAAAATCATTGAAGTCAATATTGCATTCAGAATGAATTACTTACTCTTTAAACTATTGTGTTTGTGATGGTTCCAAAGTTAAGGTATCGTGATTTGTCGACATAAATTTTCAATTGTCATTATAAAATTCATATAACGTTGAGTTAATAGTACCAACATCTTAGCAACGGAGGACTTCGAAAGATCATAAATGTTAGTATTGTTTGAGTACAGAAACAACGACGGGCCTACTGTTTGTTTTCATCCACCATTGCGCAGAGAGACAGTTAACGTTAAACAATCACATTTTGTTGTTGGTAATATACATTTTAGTGTAATAAAACGGTTGTTTTAGATATCTTCCTAAATGGATAAAGTGATTTTTGAGATTTTCCCCCTATTATCATTGTCATACTCAGGTTGTTGACAGTGATATCCTCGAAATAATCCTTAGCACTGCAGCCTTAAATTGATGCAATTTGTTTTTATTGCGTTACGTTTTGTAACTATAAGCATATCATAAAGCAGCTCTTAAATAACTACCATTATACACAAATATGTGAATATCACGGATACTCTTATTATATCATAGATATGCATGTGTATACACATTAAACGCATAAAACAACTTGGATACCGTTTGGTAATTTTTATTCAAACCACTGCTTCCTGTCTGGTTCTATTTAATTTAATGTCTATTTTTTTTTTTAACATTAAATTACAGAATTTTAGTCGATGTGAAATATTATGGAAATAAGTGAGATGATGAAAGAGTCAAATGTATAATATTATGTCAAATATTTTCTATTTTACATTTTACTAATTCCTGTGTCGTGTTTCGGTTTCGTCATTGTTTTACACGTATCTAGGGACACGATAGTACAGAAGAGTTCCGCCTATGACGTTCTGTCATTGGGAGCTAAAGGAAACGGCGGGCCTGGGACCAATTCAACGCTCCTCAGTGTGTGGATGTTTGTTAGCATCCTACTTTCCCTTATCTAATGTTCACGGCTGTGGTCAGAACACTAACATGACGCGTATCGACCCGTAAACGCTGTTGTTAGGGTATACAGGAAGTCACCCCCTGTGAACAGTCAATAAACCATTGCAATCTCGTTTTCATCTCATTTACGTCGATATTTCTTGATATATATTGTTGCAATATGAGACAGTGTCGCAAACTTCCGTACTATTGTTTTGTAATCAATTTAATGTTCATTGATTGTTGGCAGGCCTTCAGAAGCGTATACTGAACGTTAGGCTTTTAAACGGACATCGATTTCCTCATTTACCTCATAATGGACATTTTAATGCTAACCATGTTCGAATTCTACACTGCTATTAATCTACTAATACTGGAGTTAACAGTTTAAAAAGTAGGATATTAAAAGGACAATTAAGTTCGTCCATACGTTTATCCCAATTGTGGTTAATGCTTGGAATAGGTAAGTTTTGTTCATGCTGTTTTTTCAGCATAATGTGATACAAGGAGTTTTTTTGCCATTACTCATATAACATGAATCTTCCAATCAACTTTGCATAGAGTTGAATTATACATTCCTGTGATTCCGCTAATATTCATTTTTCTTTCGATTCTAGATAAACATAATAGTTTTCTCATTGTTGTTTTGCGTTTATATATTTGTTCTGTAATGTAGTTCCGGCTGCTGAGAATGTGATGAACCTGCACGCATCAAAGTAAAAAAACAGGTGGAATGCACGTGAAAAACAACCTAACAGTCTAGTTACCAGACCGGAACACGGCTGACTCAGATACCACTTGCATGACATGTGCTGTGGTTCGCCATTATCTTCTGTTTTAATACTAGTCAATGAAATGACTAACAGAATTTCAAAATTTTCCATGATGATTCCGAAGAACAAAGTAATATAAAAAATGAATCACAAATGTGTTGTCTAGTCTTTCAAAATTTGGGAGTTTCTTTCCCCAAAAAGCCAAAAGCATATATAATTTAAACAATTTTGAAAATGCAATGTTTGGGCAGAAAGAATTCAAAGACATTCACGCAATGGTTACTTTTTGAACAGCGTTATACGAAGAACGTTTTATAACTCGACTATTTCACAGAAATTGCATTAGCAATTGAAGAGAAAATATCACAGTGTCAACAAAACCCATAATTAGACACAAATAAAAACATTTATAAT